GGGCGGGCCGCGGGCTCGGGTTTCACGGGCCGGTTTTTACGGGTCATGGCCGGCCCGTCCGTCTTGACACCTGTAGGCTTATTGATGTAGAACACAGTTGAATAAGAACGAGATTGAGAAAGAAAGAGGAAGAGAGAAGAAATAGAAAAGGAGGGAGAGAATATAGAGGGAGATACTTAATTCAATCTCAAAGTCAAACTATTATAATGCATAAACCCTCTTTAAGTAGAAAAATGCTAGAGAACCTATTAACTAAAATCCTAATTATGCTTCTTAAAATAATAGGGGTGGCAATGAGCCGATCTGACCATCCAAGCTTGACTCGACCCTAGGAATGAGGCGATCTTAGCTCGACCCTTTGGCTCGTGGGCTAAGGTGAGCCGAGCCGAGCCGAGCCGAGCCGAGCCGGCTCTTTATTTATTTATTTTTTAAAGAAATTAACAAAATAAGCTAAAAAATAAAACCCATTTCTTTAAAGAAATTAATAAATTAATCTAAAAAAGAGTCGTCTCGCGGAGAAAAAGTAAACTTGGCTCGGTCCATAACTTGTCTCAAAATGAGCCATAGCCGAACACGAAGTGACCCAGCCAGCGGTTTAGCCCCTTTGCTACTCCTAAAATTAAATATCCAATTTGGAAAGTAAATAACTAATAAAATACTAGAAAATCTATTAAATAAAATTTTAATTCCGTTTCCTAAAATAAGCATCTAATTTAAAAAGTAAATTAAATAATATCTCTGCTAGGTTTCCCATCATATCTTTATGGTAGAACTCGATTCTCATGAGATAGATTGCAATATTCTCCAAGGAGACCATCTTTTGTTCTAACCGAGTATCTATGTTGACTATTGATCAAACTGACATAGGAAGCTCTCAAACAATTCATAACGAGAATTGAGAAGAAAGTAAGAGGAGAGATGAAACTTGAAAGGGAAGAGAACATAGAATTTTCTTATGGAGAAAGTAAGAGTTTCTTCAATAGTCAAGTTTAACTATTACAATGCATAAGGCCCCTTTATTTAGGGTTTAAACTAGACTAATTTAAGTAGGAAAATACTAGAAAATCTATTAAATAAAACCCTAATTA